AGGTAAAACTGCTCCCATAACAAGTCTGATGTTTCTGTAGCCCCAGGCCGCAGCCCCCTGAAGAATGCAAAAGAGCTACAGATTGTGCTGTCAATTAATATGTTGAGCACAGCTCTGCAGCTGTACAGAGTAAAGCAGGTACCTTGGCAAAGACACAGGAAGCGCTGCATCCTCCACTGAAATGCAACCTCCTCTGGGGTAAAATATAGCAAGCATTCAACAGGGCACAGCAACCCTGCCCAGTAAAGGAGTCAAGAACCCCTCAAGGTATGGAAACTTCAGAGGGAATCTAAGGGTAGGTGGAATATAACGGATCAGTACTCTAAGGAATAGTCTTACTCTATACAAGGGGAACTTTACTCCTTGCAGGGGCTCAGGAGCTCAGTTTTACAACTCACTCAGCACTGGTGCATTGGTACAGTTCTGCCTCAGAGGGAAGAGCCCCAGCTGCTGAATCCCCAGCCTTGCAGTGCTCTGGGTTTCCTTTGCACACCTCCGGCAGCCACCTACCATCTCGGCCCCAACCTGGCTTCGCTGAAGAGACAGACAAGAGCCCAGCATGCCTGCAGTGCTGGCTGCAAAAAGCAACAAAGATTCTGTTGGCACATATTATTTTACCGTAGTGCCATCTAGCTTGTTTGTTTCCTCGCTAGTGGGCCAGCTGGGCACCCCTGGCGCAAAGGGGAAGCTGAGGTGGATTCCAGGGAACTCCGCTGTGTAAATAGCTGCCGTTAAATCAGCCGCTACAGTCCTCTTTTGCATTTGTTCCTCAATGATTAACTCTGCCTGCTCCAGACCAGCTGCTTGAATGGGAGCCAGCCTGCATTCCAATGGGGCTGCTGGGACTCTCCTCCCGCTGCACACACAGGGTTCTCCTTCCTCCTCCTCCAGAGAGTCCCTTTAAAATGCTCTGTAGACGCCTGCTGCAGGGTTGGTACAATTCCCCCCTATACACACACTCCCCCAAAGTCCTTCCTTCGGGCCCTGTAGCTGAAAGCTTGAGATTCCATGCACGGCCCGAAACTTGCCTATCCCCCCCTCCAGCCCCCAGCTGGCACGGATCATATCCAGAGCTTGTATGCAACGGGTTATATGGGTCCAGCCCAAACCAGGGCAGGGATAAAGGAGTGACGCTCCCCCCTGAATCCTCGGTGGCAATCATGTTATTCCCATGAGTTCTCAGGCCAGCGGAAGTCTAAACCACCTGGCCCATGAAACATCCCACGAGTTCCGTTAGGACCCCATGACCTGGAAAGCCCCTGTGCTTTGGGCAGCTTTGGCTGGGCCGAGCCTGGACACTGCCCATCAGGCAGAGACAATAAATGAGGTGCTCTAATGCATAAACCCTAGGATTGTGGGGGAGGCTGAAGGTCCATGTGGAACAATCTATCAGGCAAGGAGAACCGTTCACTCAGACAAGCCAAAGGGGCAGGGCTGTGCTGCTGTGCAGAGAATCCTGGGAGCCTCTCCCTAAGGATCAATGCATTTTTCACTGCCCAAACCTAGAGTGGTGAGGACAAGGGGAACCTGATGGTGAGCAGCAGGGCAGAGCCAGTCATGAAGCAGTAACTGCGTGGGGACCTCCTACGGTGCTGGTCCTCCCACTGAAAAGACCTTCAGCCATCTGGGCCCAACTCCCTACTCATGTTACAATGCAACACTATCATCACCACCACAAAGGTCTTTTTGAGCAAGTTCCAACTTAAGGCCAGTAAAAGACACAATGATCCAATTGCAAATTCCCTCTTAATTTAAAGAATTTATTATTATCGTTTAGCCACGGTCTGGGAGCTCAAGTCTTATTTTGCTGTTCCCTGTACAGAACACAACAGCTGCGTCCCTTGGCAGAGCCCTGAAGGGCGCTTACAGGGGTGCCAGATGTTTTGCTTAGGACACGTCAGAAATTTCTTGCTCCAGCTCAGATCTCGCGCCTCGCCCTGAGGGCCTGATCCAAAGACCACTGGCGTCAATGGGCGTCTTTCCGTTGACTTCAGCGGGCTTTGGATGAGGTCTCATGACCTCTTCTTGTTAAGAAGAAAAAGGGAGGAGTAGCATTTCATGCAGCTTGGGAAATTAATGGCCCTGCCCCTGGGCTGTATTTGTAACAATAATCTGCTGGGGAGAATGGAGAAGCTAAAGAGGCCCCTTCTCGTTATCGTTAAAGAGTCAGATCTTCTGATGTTGTAAACTGGCCTAGCTCCATTGACTTCAACTGAGGCCCGGTCTACACTAAAAAGTTACGTCAACCAAGCCACGTCGCTCAGGGATGTGTGAAAAGTCCACACCCCAAGTGACGTAATTAAGCCGACCTAACTGCCGGTGCAGACAGCACTCAGTCAATGGAAGAAGTCTTCCATCAACCTAGCTCCTGCCTCTTGGGGAGCTGGATTAACTATGCCGACAGGAGAACCCCTCCTGTTGGTGTAGGCTGTGTTTACAGGGACCTGCTGCCGTGGCGCAGCTGTGCTGCTGTAGCATTTCAAGTGTAGACAAGCCCTGCACTAGGCTGATTTAGATCAGGTCCTCAGCTGTCACAAGAAATCCTGTTTGGGGCCCGATCCTGAGAACTCCTAAGCAGCCCCAGCTCCTGCTCAGATTAGCATCAAGCCTTGACTGCCAAATGTATCTGAGGCGAAACCCAATGGCCTGTTTTTCAGAGGGGCTGGACATCTGCAGCTTTCATTGCCTTCAGCTGGATTTATGGGCACTCAGTGCTTATGCAAATCAGGCCTCGGGAATGGACTATCATCCTTTGAGTTGAATGCATTATTTCTAGGATCACGTTTACATGGACGTCATCAGCACCCAAGTCACCACCCACATCACTTCTAAAGAGACTCCTATCGGAGGGCATCTCAAAAAGCAAAACAGTCCATCTTGTGTCCCTTCAGATCATTGAACTAATGGGGAAACCAAGGCTTTAAAAAGTTATGATGTATTAATTGCCTGTCGTATGCTCAGCACTGTACAGAATATGGCTTATGGGCCAGATTGACAATGGGAGTTAGCCACCTTGATGCTTTTGAAAATCTAACTAGGCAGCTCTCTGCATCTTTAGGGGCCTAAATATCTTTAAAAATTTGGTCTTACGTGACTTATCCATAGTCATGCAGCACTTGGCAAAATGGAGTCCCAACTGTGCTACTGTAATAAAAATGATACATTACCGGGAGAGGAACCCAGGAGTCCTGGCACCCAATCACCTTATTCTACTAGTCCCCAGTGGCTCACTAACTGGTTCACATGCAAGGAGACCAGAAAAGCATTTCTCTTTCCTTCCTCAGTTGGATATTTCAATGCTACCTTAAAGAAGGGGTTAGATTTTCTTACACATTTTGACAGGGTGGGCCTGAGGTGGAGAAGGGGATTGTTTCACACTCACGTCCCACTCGGGAGCAGGCGGTGAGCATTCTGCTGGTAGCAGGTGACAATCCGGAAGTGAAAAAGGAGATTTTCAGAGCCCGGTTTGTGTCTCTGTAGGAATGCAAAAGGGGAGACAAAACCTAGGGGAGCCTCTATTTACGTTCTGGTTAAGAGAGCAGCAGCGCTGGGGAACCCGGGCCCAGGTGTTTAGTATTCAGCAGGCATGCTCCTTAAAAGAAAAACCAGAGGCCAATTTTAAGATCTCACTGTACATCCATGCATCACACATGGCAGGGGCTTTCTGGGAGATGTATGGTGGGGGAAATGGATGTCCCTACTGCTTACAAACATTTCCAGAAAGAGTTCAGGAGGGAGGGAGGCACGGGGCGGGGGGGGGGAAATCTGTTGCTCTCACTGAAACAATCTGCTTTTGTTGAGTACGAAACAGGCCTAAATTAAGTTTGACATAAAGAGGCCAGATTTTTAGAGGCCGGGCCAAAACCCTGAGCTGCGTTAAGCCAGAGTCTGAGGTGGAATTGCTCTGGATTTACACCGATTGCCAGGGAGGACAGGGTGTAGCCGCAAAAAGGGAGGAGCGGTCCAGGGAGAGGCAAAGTGTGTGCTCCGCAAAGTGCCCTCTGTAATCCTGCCCAGCATTCCCGGATGCCTCTGTAATATGGGCAGATTCCGCTCAATAAAGCCCCGTCCAGATCCATCTCCAAGGGCCACAACCGTGCTCCAGAAACCATCCCTCCCGCACGCCTCGCTCTCCCTCGCACCTTCTCTTGGCACCTGAACAATCTCTGAGACACCTCTGGGCGACACAACTGGGCAAACCAGAGAAAGATCCCCAGACACATCCCACCCCGCTGGGACCTCGTGCCCGGTGAGGCCCCTCTGAATCTCCGCCAAGCAAGCCAAAGGGATGAAAAACGAGCCAGCTTCTAAACAGTTAAACGCATTACAAAATGAAGAGAGAGGATCCAGCCATTTTATTTCCCTCCATCTCCCTCACTCCAGATTAAAATCCCCCCCCCCCAAAATATTCTCCCCCTCTGCCCCAGCCTGTGCTAGATTCCCTCCACCCCACCCCGCACGATGGAAAAGGAGCACGCACCCAGGGGTCGGCTCGGCATTGTAAGCTTCCACCACGTTAGCTGCGGCTGCCATGTTGAATGGCAAATCCGACATGATTCAACATTTTCCCTCTGCGTTGCATAGGGTGGCGAAAAGAAACACACACCCAGCCCCAAAGCGACTCTTAAGAGCTGCAAATGGCCCAATCTGCAGGTGGAAGGGAAAGGGAGGCCAGAGGAAAACGATAATTGAATCCTGGATCAAATATATGTTTTTTAAAAGTCAGATGTTTTAGCGCCCAGGACCGAAGGAGCAAAAGGAAGAGGAGGGGTGAGGGTTGCAGCAACAACAAAGCGACTGAGCATTTGGACAAATGAAACGTTATTTAAAATTTAAAAAAAAAAATAAATAAATGTAAGAGCTAGGTTTGATTTCGTACCAAGCCAGCGAGAGAGACGCACCGTGGAGGAGAATAGTTTGGTTGTTGAAGTAGCCACTGGATTTAGCTCCGCTTTTCCGGACAATCATCGGGGAAGGATCCTTTTTTCGAGAAAGGCCAGTTTGAGGGAGGCAGCTTTCTCCCCCCCTCCTCTCTCTCTCCCCTTTCCTTCTCCTAACAGCTCGGCGCTAAGAAATGGGTGGTGCCTGCATGCCAGGCTTCATCCAAACGAGACGCCAAAGGCCGAGGAGAGGCTGGCACAAAGGGACGCTGGCAGGAATTCCAGCACTCAGGAGCTGCCTTTCCTTGTGCCCTTGGGACAATCCCTCTTTATTACGTAGCTCAGATTTAAAAACCAAAAAAAAAAAACAAACCACCCGTTCTGGTCTGAAAAGTTACCCAAGCCCAATCAAAAACAACCCAAAGGACAAAAACTTCCTTTAGATCAACACAGGTTACACAAAAGGCCAGTTTTTACCTCCCTCCCCCCCCACCGCCCTGACCTCCCCAGCATGCCAGCCCAACATCCGCGTGAAAATAAATCCTGGTTCCCTCCTTCCTGGTTTTCAGGAGGTGGCGGGGTCCTTTAGCAGGAGTGAGAGCGAGACACACCCAAAGAGAGAGAGAGAGATCTATAGCGAAAAACCTTACCGCAGAGGAAGAATCAGTTTTTGCTGTCTTTAAGTACCTGGGGCTGTGCCGATAATAAAAGGGGGTTAAGAAGTGGGGGTAGGGGGCGGGGGGCAGATGGGGGCTGGTAATGCAGCTGGGGAGATGCCAAAAAAAGCAGAACAAAACACGTTTTAGTTTTGTCTGCACCAGCCTGCGACAGTGAGCAAGCGAGCGAGCGAGATGCACAGTGAAAACGCTGCTGAGCTCGGAAACGGGCCTACAGCCACTTTGGAAGCCTCGGCAATAATTCTCTCCCTTCCTCGCATTCACCCTGCCCACTCTGGCTCGGCTGCCAAGTCGGAGAGTTGGCACGGCTTCCCAGGCAGCGCGGAACAAAGCCGTCACCCATCCCTGAACAGGCGCTGACGGCAGGCTAAGTGACAGGCGCATCTTCTGCATGTTAATCCAAGGGGTGAGGAGGAGAGAGCAAAATCCACCGGCTCCCCCGCCACCGGCCACTCCTTTCCAACCCGAGCCCCGGTGGGCCCCGTGCACCGTCCGCAAGGCAGGAGCCCTGGAGAAACAGAGCTGGCCCGGCAAGTCAAACAAACAAGCAAGCAAGCGCAGGATTTAAATACAAACCACCGCCCGACCCAGCAGCACCCTGGCAAACAAGGCCGCTCGGCATCTGCTGTACCTGTTCCCGCTGCCTTCATCTCGCCTTGGAACCGTGACAAGAGAGAAGCGTCGCCTCTGGTGGGCTCTCGCAGCCTCGGGTCTGCAACCCTGTGCAGGAAGTTGGCACCGATCCCAGGTAGGACTTTACTCCCACATCCCCCCCCCCCCCCGCCTCCCGCGTCTTTCTCTCCCCTCCCCTCCTCCACCCACCCTATTCCTTGGCAAATCCCCCCCCCCATTCTTAACTTACTCCCCCCCGCCCCTGGCTGCATGGGCGCAGGGCACGCTAGCGACCAGACACATTCAATGCCCTTCAGAGCACCAGCCAAGAAACACGCACACACCCCTTAAGGGTGACCCGGGCAGCACAGAGAAAGCAGCTGGCTCCCCTAAACGCCTGTTTTGACACGAGGGTTGGGTTGGGTGGGTCGGGGCGGGAGGTTTGGCGGGGGGGGGGGGGTTGTTTTGGGTTTTTTTGTGCTTGGCAGACCGGTCCAAACACGAGGGGAAGGAGAGGGAAAAAAAAATTAAAGCCCCGACTCTGTCCAGGACAATCAGAAGGGAAGGTGGAGATTAGTGCAACTCCCAGATCACAACCCTCCCTCCCAGCTTCCCCCACATCCATTCACCCCCCCCCTTGTCTTTTTTAATATTCCCAGCGCCTGCATTATTCCAGTCCACAAGCGGGAAGGAGTTTACAGTACAGACTCTCTCTTGAGGCTGCCAGCAGGAAAGAGAGGGAGTTCTCACAATCGAACAGCGAGAAGAGCAAGGAGAAATTAACATCCAATTAGCGCCGTGTTTAACGAGGGAGACAGAGACAGCCGTTGTTTTATTGCCCTGTTCTTTTCATTCGGATCTGACAGGCAGCGCGGCAGGCACCCCCGGCTGCAGTGACGTCATTTTCCCCCCCTTTTTCCTCCAACAAGTTTCCCAGAGGTGGATCGTCAACTCAGCTGGGGAAATTCGTTACTTTCTTGCATTAAAAATTATTCTCCCTCCTCCCCACCCCAAAAAAACGAACAAAAAAACCCATCTCCCTTCGTTCTTGTAAAAGCCAATCCAGGAGACTATTTCTCTGCGTGTCTGTCTCGCTCGCTTGTTTTCCTGCTCTGAGACAGCTCTCTCAGCTTGTAAAAGTTTGAGCCATGTGACACTCCACCCAGCCTCCTTTGGCAGCGTGACAAGAACCGCTTTGGTGTATCAAAGAGAACAGGCAGCTTTTAAGGAAGAAACTCGATTCAGAAAGATTAAAGAATTATGATGTTTTAATCAAGGGAGAGAGAGAGGTTGGGGAGGGAAAACTGCTCATTGCATCTGGATCAACAGGAGCGGCCTTCACAAAAGGCTGTGGCAGCAGAATAGACAGCAGGAGTGTTTGAGGAGGTGGTGGTGGTGGGGGGGGTTTGAAGCAGAAGTGGGAGAGACTTATTTAACAGTTCCAAGCTCATCATTTTCCCCTCCTCCCGCCCCCCCTCCTTTAGGCTGCTGTGAAGAAAGGCCGGGGAGCGAGCGTCACATTTTCAAGGGCTTCACCATCTCTTGTGGAATCCTGCAACCTGTCACAAAACTCTCATGAGACATTTCCATCTCCAGAGAGGCAGGGACAGAGAAACACACTGCCCAGCACACGTACAAACCTCAGTGAGCTTCGCATCTGGGAAGATAGGGCTGCCTTTGCGTCTCCTCCACATCCCAGCTCCCCCTTCCCAAGGCGCAGAGCAGATTTGTCGCCACTTTCACAAATGACAAAAGGACTGGCTCCTTATAATCATCCGTTAAACCTTCTCAAAACTCTACACACTTTGCCACTTCAAAGCTGGCCTTTCTCAGCAGGAACAATGGGACTGGGTGAGTCTAACAGGAACCACCCGGCTTGGTGTTACTTGTTTCGGGTGGTTTCCCTCCAACACTAGCACGGGGATGTATTTTGCCCCCTGATTCCAAAACTGGGCTTACCAACTCTGACAGAGAAACCAGCCACCCTCCCCCCAGGACACCTGAGCTGTGCCCCAGCTCCAACAGGCTTAAGCGACAGAATCCCAGGTTTCCAGTCCTACTTTGTATGAGCTTTAAAGGTCTGTTCTACACTGCACGGTTAAGTCAACACAAGGCAGCTTACATTGACCTAGTTGTGGATGTGTCATTCAGAAGATCAGTCTCTTCTAGATGACTGGCCCCTTGGGCAGTTGCTTAAGACAGATCTTGTTAAGAACATAAGAACGGCCATATTGAGTCCATCTAGCCCAGCGTGCTGTCTTCTGACAGTGGTCAATGCCAGGTGCTTCAAGGGAATGAACAGAACAGGTCATCATCAAGTGATCCATCCCATTGCCCATTCCCAGCTTCTAGCAAAGAGGGGCGAGGGACACCTCTAGGGACATGGCTAATAGCCATGGATGGACCTGGCTATTAGCGGACATGGCTAATAGCCATGGATAGACCTATCCTCCATGAATTTATCTAGTTCTTTTTGAACTCTGTTATAGGCTTAGCCTTCACAACGTCCTCTGGCAAGGAGCACCACAGGTTGACTGTGCGTGGTGTGAAGAAATACTTCCTTTTGTTTGTTTTAAACCTGCTATTAATTTAATTGGGTGACCCCTAGTTCTTGTGTTTTGAGGAGGAGTAAATAACACTTCTTTATTTACTTTCTCCACACTACTCATGATTTTACTCTATTGTATCCCCCCTTAGTCATCTCTTTCCCAAGCTGAAAAGTCCCAGTCTTATTTACTCTCTCCTGGTTGTGCTATATAAACACAACTCCACGCCTGCAAGATGCTGAGCATCTAGAACTCACACCAGAGCCAACGGGAAGTAAGGGTACTCAGCAGCTCATAAACAGTGACTGCAATGTCGGGGGGGGGGGGGGGGGGGGGAGATGTCTATACATCCCTGGGTTTTTAAGGGAATTCCAGTGAGGTGGAAGGGCATCAGCAATGAGTCAACCAAGCTTCCTGTTATAGAGGGGATCAGAAAGAACCCAGGCTGCTGGCCTCAAACAGGAGGGACAACGGAGGAATTAAGCACTAATGCCTGTAAATTAGCACTTCAAGCCTCTTCAAAGGCTCTTCCACCAGCCGGCCATCCAAGGAAAGCCACATACCCTTCTGATTGCAAGGAGCACTTAGGGTGTGGCCCCATCTTGTCAACATCCCGCTGCCACCCAAGGGTACTCTCTTGGGGAGGCCTCTCCTCACTCTGCTGACTAGCACTACGATTACACCTGTACATCTGATGCATAAGCCCCAGCGAACCAGGGATTTGCACACTCACAGGTCGAGAGGAGCTTCGTCTCCTCTCGAGTCAGTGACTGTGCTGTTCTGGACCACAAGCTCTTTGAGATGGTGGCCGCTTCACGCTTTGTTGCGATTTGGATTAGGGGGTGAGAAGGCCCCATGGGGAAGATGAATTAGATGTGATTTGGTAAGATCGCCTTGATAGGATTCAGTGCCTGAAAAAAGCCCTGGGACTGGATGCTCAAAAATGTCCTCTCTACCTCTCTCCCACCCATCCAAGCTGTCTTCCACTCCTGTCTAGGCCCTGCCATCACTTTCCCCACTCCCTCCTCCTAGGTTCCAAGCACCTTCTCTTCTACCAGCTACCCTTCCCCATATCCAGGGTGAGATTCTGGCTCAGATCCTCAAAAGGTATTTAGATGCCTAAATCCCATTGATTTCAATAGGAGTTACGTGCCTACAACTTCAAGGATCTGGGCCTTTGTCCCCATCATATACTGAATCCGATCCCCATATACATACCCTGACCCAGTTATGCCCCAGGATCCAGTCATTCTGCCCGACTAGCAATGAGATCCAGTTCCATCTCCCCTTCGCAGCCCCTCCGCTGTGGATTTTCTTTCCCACACAACATGAGCACCCAAAATGCGGCTGGTTCATGCCTGCTTTTGCTTCCCCTTCATGAACAGCACCTTACAATAGTGCGCGCTCTGGGAGCTGCTGGAATCATAACAGGCAAGGTCAAGCACAAACTGACCAGGATCACTGCTGCCTAAGCTCCACCCTCCTCCGCAAGGCACAGCATCCTAAGTCACCCTTACAGCAGAAGAGGAGGTCTCTGGGCTCCTCATGCCTAACAAGCCATTTTGCGGACAGGTGCTGGGATAGCGCCAGACACAGCCAAGCCCCCTCTGTTGTTCCCAAGTAGGAAGGATTAAAGCCTGGTGACCCCGCCCCCTCAAAAGCAGGAATCAGCTGCTCTTTGCCTACATGTAGCTTGTGTGGGAGGGGAGAAAGCAAACATTTCTATCAGCATTAAGGACATACTCTGCAGGCACGTGCCTGGGGGCTGCAGCAGGCATGGCTCTGCAGCTAGCTGGGGACCCACGAGAACCCTCCGTGCACGGAGTGTGGCGGCATCTTCCTTTCTCCTCAGGCACTTTGATACCACTGCAATGGGCCCACCAGAACCACTTCGATTTCCCTTCACGCAGCCCTGCAGGCAGGAAAGAGCCTTTGTGTGCATGAGAATCTTCTTGGACTCTCTTAGCAGAAGGGAGGCTGTGACAGGTCACAAGGGAGCAGGGCTGTGGGAAGGGAAAAGGAAGTAAAACGAGGCAATTGTAGTAGGGCTGGAATCAGACACCAGCCATTATACGTGGGGCTTTCATAGCTTCCCTGTGCTTAAATGAAAACCTCAGGCTGGTTTGACACCATCTCGGTGAAGTGGAATCCACACTAACAGAAGCCCAGCTCAAAGAGGCTCATCAGAGCTTGCTTGTAACTAGTGCAACAAAGCTGTGATCACCTAGGACTTTATGGCAGCCATGCAGAGCATCACAGGGAGAGAACTCAGCCTCCCACTGCAAAAGCCAGAGGCCCTTACCACTTAGGAGAATCCCTGTTAGCAGTACAAGGCCTATGACACATGGCTGGGCAGGGCTAACTCCATCCACTAGACACTAGCCAGTGTGTTATTCTTTATTCTTGAGCAATCCTTTCCTGCTGAATGTTCAAACCAAAACAAATTTGAAGGGTAGTTAGCTACAAGGATTCCGTTGCAAGAGGAAAGTTAAGTGCAACCCTACTCCACCTTTTGCTTTCTTAGTGTGTGTGTGTGTGTGTGTGTGTGTGTGAGAGAGATCTCAATCATGAAGCCCTGTTTCTGGCCTCTCTCCTTCCTAAACACTTGAGAGCTGATAAACCCAATCTCGCTTCCTAGCTAAAAGGCTTTTGATAACAGCTGAGCAGCAACAGAAAGAGCAGGCGAGCCCCACCCTTCAGATATCCAGGTAAAAGGTGAGAGAAGAGAGTCACTATTCAAACACTGGCTGCTCATTTACCCAGTAGGTGGGAAAGAGAGAACATCAAACTCTGACACAGGTTCTCATAGGTACCCGTTCTCTGTACTGATGTCGCTGGGGAACTGGGCATCTTTATGTAGCTATAGCGTCACCTCCAATCCCCACTTTGCAACTGGCTCTGCCCTCTCCAGAAGGGACTGACACCTAAACTCTTCCAGTGTTTGGAATCCCAGGCCCAGATCACCAAAGGTATTTTAGACTCCTAAATTTGATTCAGGTGTATCAGACTCATTTTACTGAACCTGTACTCGGCCTAGTCAGTTTCCTATGGGGCAAGGTTGGCCCAGAATCATAGAAATGCAAGGACTGGAAGGGACCTAGAGGGTCATCTAGTCCACCTCCCTGCATTGAAAGCAAGACTGTGTATACCTAGACTACTCACATCAGTCGCTGAAAGGCTTAACAGAAGGAATCTGAATTTCCAGAAGTCACTCCCCTTTGGAATAACACTAATTGACCTTAAATAAGGAACCTTCAGATGACTGGAAAGCTGACAGAGCTGGGGTTTAATAATAAATGAATGCACCACATTAAAGACAATGATGAAACTCCGAAAGCCCAAGAGAGGTTGTTCTTAGTTTTATTTTAGACTACAGTGAAATCCTCTGGAACTAATCTCACAGTTATAGAATACGGCCATGCATTTCTTGTTCCTCTTTAACAAACCATATCAAGGGGATGAGGAGGGGGGAGGGGTAAAGGGAGGCTAGGCCTGATCCCATAACACTGGTGGGAAGGGAGGTTCTTGCCTGAAGTAGCTACAATTCCAAAGGCTGCAAAACCTTTCAGTTACACATCTCACTCAAAACATACCCTGCGGTCAGGCCTTGGAAGTGTGAAACAAGCCCATCTGTCCCAGTGAAGCACCCCAGTAATGACAGATCAGGACCCTGAGGCCCTAGGTATGGAAGATGCTGGCTGTCCTAGTCACCAAATGAATCCCTGCATATTTCAGGAACCATAGTCACTCCAGATGGAGCTTTCTCTGGCCACCCTGGGGGCAGACTATGTAGGAAAGCACCACAGGGCAGCCGTCTCTCACTTCATTGTGCATTAGGAACGTTGTGACAATCACTAATGCACTAATGTAATGTACTCCTTTTCTTTTTGAATACAGACTAACACGGCTGTTCCTCTGAAACTCACTAATGCA